TGAGACCCACCCTGCAACTTGCAATGTGGCCCTAGTAAACGCAGTCCCCGTACAATACAATATAATGCAACCACATCTCAAAACTATATGTAACCACGATCACCCTTCACTATACATTACCGGAAAAACACATTGCATTTGTGCGTGATATATTAAAATATGTACTACTGAATAAAGACATGGTATTGTCAGAACATTATTTTACGTTGCAATACTCTGCTTTTTAGAATGTATCAAAGGGGTTATTCGCATGTGGCATCTGTCATGAGTAATTCAAACACCTCGACTTGTCTAACCTCACACATACTATATTCATTGAGTTTGAAAAGAAAACACATAATGAAAACTGCTGTAAAAACAATAAATATATATTCCTTAATTGGCAATATCCATATTAGAAAATTATAGATGGAAAAGCCCATATATGTCACTCTGTATAATTTTCTTCTGGGAGGTGATAAATTAAATTTATTTTTGGAATTCTGTGCACTTTAAATTTTAAGGAAATTTTCAACTTGAGAGCACACTTGGGAGTAGAAATAATTGTGCTTGTATTTTGCAATATAATAGCCCTTTCGTCCATTGAAAAACATAGCCGAGTTACTGGGTAACCAGTAAGGCTTGTCAAAAAATGGAAACGTTAATACAGAATATTTACATTTCATGAATAATGGAAGCTGTTGGACCAATTATTATTTTTTGTTTGGTAATTTTGAGATATCGTGTGGCAAGATCGTGTACAAAGTCAAGTTTATTTTCCCAATCTCAAATGAGTGTTGAGTGGTGCTTTATCTGTTTTAGTGGTCCTGAGTTATTGGTAGAAATGGTAAGTCCCCATGGCAGGAATCAGTCACTTCGTGGGATAACGACTGCTGCCTTCCCATAAAGGTGTGTTCATACTAGCCACCAAAGGCTTTGTTTGGCTATTGAACTCCGATTCTAATTGAACTCTGGGCACACTGATCAGCTGCATAAAACATCATACGTGACGATTATTATTTTTCTTTAACTTATGCTGTTTTAAAATAGTGGGGGAAATCCATATAAGTTGTTTTATACAACTGGTCACTGCTGTACTACCAACTGAGATATAAAATGGCTTTGAACCACATAGGCAACATCTTTTGAACATTAGAATTGCACATGATTTAATGATAAAGGGATGGACCGATGCCAACTTCTCACAGTAAAACATGGTACTCGAGCACACGGTGGCACAAAGATTTACCCAAATGATGACAACATGCATTCCAGTGCATATTTTGTGCTGGAGTGTTTTGTGTCAAATCGCAGTTTAAGGGGCCATGCAATACTGCAACGCGGTACCAACGGTTGCACAACACAACTTGTGGTCAAAGAACAAAGAAACTTCAATTGCCCTTAAAAGACTGCCGACTGAAAAAAACTCCACTTTGTCCAGGTTCATTTGTAGAGATGAAACAGCTGCTGTTTCTTGCACAACAGTTCCCATGCAAAGGCCAGACGCGTGGTGAAAGGTAGGAGAGGACTCAATTAATCAATGTCTTTCGCACTTCTCTTGAAAATCATTACCTTACTGTTGAGGTGCATTAGGGATTATTTGCGGTGCCCTGCGTGTAACATATCAAAGATGAGCATATGTTCTCGTACCCTTTCAAAAGCACGGGATGCGTAATAACGGCTTTCTTGTTGCACATTCTGGATTGCAACTAAAAATATGATGAATGGAGCCTGTGTATTTTCCAGAGCGTCAAAATCTCACACTCAAGTCCAAAGGTCAGCATAATTGAATTCTCCATTTTCTGCATGGCTATTTTTAAAACGCATTTTCAGTTTGGCTTTGAATCAAAATGTTTTCTTCGTGAAAATCTATTGGTGAATAGAGTGAAATTTCACAGATATGAAAGATCGAAAGCGTTAACGGGACATATATTTGTGAGCTATAAATGTACCAGAAGGTAAGAATCGATGACTGAAAACCCGTGCCAGCAAGTATTAGGAAGACCATGTATTCGACTAGAAGAGTTTGTATTTGTTCGACCATTGTTGTTGAACGGGAATTAGGTGTATAGCCAGGCTGGGAACTCTATATTTGAATTATATTAATGTTTGTATCAATTTCATGTTGTATACCGACACTGAAACACCACATTATTGTTATTATTGGTCGAGTTATACTTTTCATGGCTCATAATTGCCCTGCACAGCTACACCACCAGAAATAATAGCAGCTATAGTGTGTGGTCTGCTCCCACGAGAGTATCATTCATCCATTTATATTTCATTCATCGCGTGTAGAGTAATTATTGCATTACAGCAGTTTGCCTAAGAGGAACTTTAGAAGCTCAGTGCTGTGGATGAAATGTTGTCTGCCTGTCAATCTGATTATAGGTGATCACGCCTTCTCTTATGCTGCCTCCGTGGTTGGGAATTTCATACATTCCAGGCGTTATAGACAGCCAAATACTTACTGAAAACGTAAAATGGCCTAAATATGAATTATAAGAATGGCTGTGCCTTGGAATGTTTGAGTATTTTTGCGTGGGTAGAAACTGGAGTGCCCATAGAAAAACCATGTATACAAGGCGATGATGATAGAATTCTGCAATAAATGTCAAAATATGCATTATTTATAGCTGTGACATGTTATCCCTACCCTGCAGGTAGCCATCTTATGCAGGCTGTCTCTAATTCGCAGCATTAGTCATATGCCTCCACATGTTACTTTTTTGCATCTATTTGTGTTGCTGATTAAGTAAAAGAAGGATGCAAATGGGTCTCAAGATAAATTAGTAAAAAAAAGACATACAGTATACAAATAACTTTTCTAGACAATTGATGATACCCGTGGGAAAGACACAATTGTTGAAAATAGACTGTGATGAACGATATAAAATAGAGGGGTGAGTGAGCGTGGGTTGAAGTGCTTTTATAAAAAAAAAAACCTCTAAAATCTCAAGCACCGTACCAGAGGAAAGTTTTTACCGAGTGCATATCACCTGCTATGACATTTGGACTGGATACATATACAACGGGATGGAATGAAGCGGTCCAGTTGTTAGATTTTTTTTTGTATCGGGTATAAAGAGGTGTGATTTATTATATGCAGCTAAAAGCTACATGTGCCTACGTAAGGACTCATTTTACCATGCCCATCTTTACCCTGCGGTCAATAGCAATAAGCACAAGTTTGTTTAAAGTCAACAGTCTTGGTTAGTCCAGAGACAAGCGAACGTAGACATTTCCACCTGGGGCTCAGGACTTTCAAAAATAGATGACCACCACCACCCTGTGCTTGAAAGATCAATCAGACTTATTTAAAGCCTTAATTAAAATGCTTCCAGTAACTCAGTATTGTCTTTCAACAGCAATCATCATTTTTCTGCATGGTAATAATGCTACCGAGTTGAATTAATTGTTTGACACTTTCCAGCACAGCCTCACAAGCATATTTAATACCACAATGTCTATTTCTGCCTTTGCATCAAGCCTATACGTTTCAACCAACGTGACTGTCATCGCTCAGTTCAAGGCCTAAGTGGCCGACACACGTGTCTAAATCAGGTCTTATTTTGCGTGAAATAACCTGCCAGTATGCATGCCTACCTGTCATAGCCAAAATCCCAACAGTTTACATTACCCACACAAGCTAAATGTCAAATGTAGCTTATAACCGTGATGCATAACTGTGGTTTATCCAGGCATGCCTTGCAAAATATGTAATTCATCTCAATGGGATTTAAACGAGTTCAATTAAGGACAGGAATTGATTGACTTACTGGGTATGGTGGCTACATCTGTGAAATAGTGATTTGGAAACGGAGGTGATACAAATGTGTAGCTGACGTGCATTAGACACACCTGCAGCCTGAACTGTGGGTAGATTTCCGAACTGGAAACGTTGAAGGTATAATTAACATTATCAACACATTTGTCAATAACACTGTCCTAAAAGTAAAAATAATATATATTTCAGAGGTTACATTTTGGGCAATGGACTTTCAGAGCAGAGAGATGTTACAGTCTCTCTCTGCTGTAAAGAATGGTCATTTCTTGAAACGTTGCCGATTGTATGAGTTTTCATTATAGGCCACCGTTATCGACAGTTGTTCATACAAGCATGGCTTTCTCTGGTTTCCTTCCCACAACAAAAAAGAATCCTGAAAAGGAATTTGCCAAAACAATCCTCGCCTCTATTAACACACGGGAGCTTTCCGAGGGCAAAATAAAATTATTGTTTCTCAAGCAACATAAAATGAAGCACAGAAAGACTGCTCCCTGCCCTAATTGGCATTGATCCTCATTGCGGTACCCCGGGGTACCAAATAATGCAAACTGGCCGAGGCAATTAAATATTTTATTTCTGGGACACTATTTTTTCCAGGGGTGTACTTCACTCCGCGATTGGGGTACCAATCAGTCCGAAATCGGTGCCACTCCGCGATGTCGAAACGCAGCGAGGACGATTGCGCTGAAACCCTGAACGCTCGTATGCGCCATAGTGCATCGTGTACAGCTCGTCGAGATGAGTCGATCGCCGCATCGCCGACCATCAACAGACTAACAGTGATTGCATCACGGACATTATGCGAGAGCCGGGGTACTTTGGTACCCCGGGATACCGCCATAAGGTTCATGTGGCATTTTCACTGCTGGCAATGGGCTACCAATGGACATGACTACAGCCTCTTGCTTACTTGAGCAAGGAAACAATTGTAATGATTTGAAGTACTATGTACAACATTTCAGCAATCTGATATTTTTTGAAAAGTCATTATCCACAATTATCGGTGCATGCCAGAAGGTGCAATGGCAAAAACTCTTGATTAATTTTCAATGACACAAAGTCATAATTTGATTGTTAAAAAGCCTCAAAGAACCCAGTAAAGTCCTGATATTTCAGCATGTGGTGGACTGCCAATAAAATCCAGACTAGCTCTGGAAAGTAGTGCGACTGATGCAGGTCTGGTGTTTCTCATACCATGGATCAAAGAGTACTGCCTTCAAGTGTGGCCACTTACCAGTTACACAGTTGTTACTGATGCAGAGTTTCTCCAGGGAAATAAACATATTGAATGGACACAAATCCGAGAGCCTTGAAAAGAAAAGAAGCAAATATGCAGCAAGTTTTAAAATTAAATTATATTTTAAATAAAATAAAAACCTTTTGAAAGAAATATAAGGCAACTGCTCTTTTTTTAAATGCCAAAATAAAAGCTGAATTTCCTATAGAGCAAACACACTGTACATATTTGAAATGTGATAGTACATTCATGGTATAGCAATGTTCACATATTTAACTTAAATATGGTGCCGTTGTACCATGTGTGATTGTGTGCACGTAGTTTCAGAATGAGGAGCAAGGCAGTAATGGTTAATGTAGTGGGCTACTCCTTGACCTCCCCTAGTACAGAACAAAGTTGTATGCATTATTCAAAGTTATAATTCATAGTGTCTGTCTCCTAAAATTAGCATGTAATGGTTCTCATTTCTGTTCAAATTGTATATTAACATTGTGGGGCCAGTCATGATTTCCCACACAAAGTAATTCATTTTATCAGCCCGTGAGAGGTGATGGCCAGAGCCAAGCCGTGAACCAAGATTTGAGCTCGCCTACCTTCCAATAGTGAGTGACTGCACACATACAAACCCCAGATCATGGGGAAGCTACCCAAACACATCTTGAAAATAAGTGTAGGGTTTTTTTTTTCTCTTCAACATAAATCATTACACACCCGTTGTGGGACAAGGAGAGTATGCGGAGGTGAGGAAGCCAGCTGGAGCCCAGTGTCTGCAAGGAGCTGATGCCATTGTCATCCAGGCACAGTTCGCTCAAGAGCACCTGGTTCCGTAGTGGAGGGATCTGCACAAATACGAGAAACACATTTGCATTCACAAGCTTCAAAGTGAGCAAGTTCTATACGACAGTTTCATATGCATGTGTATTACTTTTGGTAACACGGGTAAAACAATTGGCGGAAATCGGTTTACAATATGTTCATGGGATGTATGATGTGTGTCCATGTGTTGTGTTGATTTAAGGTTTTTCATATATGTAACATCTGTGACTGGCTATAAAACTGTCTGCTAGCACAATAAAAATGTGCTAAGATAGATCATTCACATTTCATAGTTTGTTTGAAACTTGCTTGTTTACTTTATATAAAGCTTATTTTTACTTGACGTTTTTACGATATCTTCACAAACGTTCAGCTTTGGTGCATTGTGATGAGTGCTCAATTTATGATTATAGGAATAATTCAAGTATGTAAATTAGGAGATAACCCATCACAGCAGAAAAATGCAGGCTGAAAACAAATGTATTTACCAATATACAAAGATGTGCAGTGCATGTACAAAAGGTCTCAGCTTTATCCAGACCACCAGCTCAAAATAACTGAATCTGTGGCCATTTTGTCATTTACACCACCGTCTCTAATCGACAGCATGTCCACACATTCAGTTCTTTTGAATTGGAGGTCTGAATAAGGCTGATAACGTTTGTACATGCAATGCCTACACACACACCTTTGTGTATATTTCAATCTAATCCTCAGATTGCCAGTTGAAATGAAATAATTCCAATTTCCATCCCATCATTCCAATGGTCAATAACATTAGTACCACTTCATGGGAAACACACAGTGGTTGCCCCATGAAAAGAACTGCTCATATTGTGATTTAACTACGGGCAATTACATGAAAGCAATGCTATTATCTTGATGCTTGCTGGTACCACCAGTTTAGGTATAGTGAGCAATGGACTTGACAACCACAGGCACCTTTCACAACTGCTGCGACGTACAGTCTCCCTGCTAACCTGGGTGAGGTTGTTGCCCTGCACGTGCACCGTACGGAGCAATGCGCAGTCCCGTATGCCCTCCAGCGAGGAGAGGTGGTTGTGTGAGCAGTCCAAGTGCAGCAGCCGGGGCACCTCGCTCAGCCCAGCCGTGCTCACCAGCTGGTTATGGTCCACAAGCAGCCGCTGCAGCTTCTTCTGCCACTCCAAACCACCTGCCGTAGAGTGCACAGCAAGAGGGTTATGCTGTGTTTTCACGGCCACTTGCAAGCAGGCTCGGCAAGCGCAGGAGCGGTGCTCGGCAGAGCTCGGATCTTGTCCCTATTGTACAGAGCCAAGCAGGTTCATGGGTTCAGCTCCTCCTGCACTTACCTTCTCACACCCTCACTGCCCTCTGTCGCTGGACAGTAGCAATCATAACAAAGCACTGTTATTAATAACACTCAATGCAGGCTTGGGTAGCTATCCCAAGCAAAATATATTATTGTAATACCCTTCTGCCTTTTTTTTATAATGGCATACCATAGGTCGCTCTTCTTACTTCGGAGTTGACCCAGTAATGTGACCACTGGCTCCAACAGCAGTGAAATGCAGGGTTCACTCATGAAAGCAAGCTGGTCAATTATTTTTACCATATTCACTGTGACTGAGGTTCATGAAATTCAGCTGTCTGACTTCAAATGCGATTTCAGGAGTTGAGTCAGCCCATGATCCTTAAGGGGTCATTAAATGAGCACCAGGTTGTGTCAATTGGTCGCTGACTTATAGAAAGAATGGCCCATGTCATAATTCTCTGGAATGGTTACCACTGGCTCAGGGCTGGAAACTATGATGAAGTTTTATCCCACACTCCTTTGTGCAGAGAGGCAATTTTACTTTACTCGACATAAACGGTTAAGCTTATATGAATGCGTAGGTTTTCACAGCCAATGTTATGATTCATAAATGATGTTGGGGTTAGGCCATATAATGATCTCGCCAAATTTGTGTTGTTAAAACCATATACCAAGTAACATAGCCAAACAAATTAAATTGTCACATACACGAGTGTGTCATACACCAATTATTATTGTTTCGGCTCACCGATGAGTTGCACAATTTTCACAACCAAATTTAACAATCACATGCAATGTTTCGCATGAAACTGCACGTCAAGGGTTTTCAGAACAAATATCCAGGAAGTAAGAATAAAATCAAAAAAGTCAGAATGCTTGTACATTTCACAATTACGTTGTATGGCTGTGTCGGGTGGTGGAGGATCTGCATGGCACAAATTTTGACAGATCGTTACGTGACTTAACCCAAAAATATTTATTAACAAGGCACATGCCGAAACAGTAGTCATGAGAGACAGAAGGTGATGGGTTTGAAATTCAGGCTGTGTTGTCGCAGTTGTGAACCGCTTATGCTGGTGTGTCGCGGTGATAGTGAATACACAAACACTGCCGGCACAAACCTATCCTTGTGATGTTGTTGTGGGAGAGCTCCAACAATGTAAGGTTGGTGCATCCTTCTAAGCCATGAATCGAGGTGAGATGGTTATGAGACAGCAGAAGGACTTCCAGGTTTTCTAGGTCTTGGCAGTTTACAGTCTCAATGCTGTTGTCCTGCAAAACTCACAGAGAATATAATATTACACATATCTCTTATACGAATGTAGCATTGTAATAACTTGTATTTTACTATATATTAAGGAAATCACCTGGAAATTTATAAAAGTATTAAAATACGAGTATTTAATGGTAACTAGCATTCTGTCACCTCTATTACGTCAAATACTGTAACACATTGTCACGCGATAACCCAAACTAACTCTATGACCCTGTCCGTTACATGTAAGTAGGAATGAGTATAACAATGCAACTCTTGCAAAATGCGTTTTTTTTCTTCTATGTTAAATATCACTACGTATAATGTTAACCACGTGTTTAGTGGCGATACCTGCGTGTCGATAACTCTGAGTCCCTTGCAGTTGTTGACTCCGTCCAGAGCCAACAGGCCACAGCGATTGAGACTCAGAGACTGCAGATTGGGACACTGAGCCAGCGTGCTCAGATTGCAGCCAGGCAGGTCTTGAAAACAAACTGTTGTGACCTGAATAAGTAACAACCATTAATTAAGCAAGAAAGTTTTGTACAACCAACATATTTACCATCACATCTCATATATGTGTTTACTGAAAGCACTGCATTGGTGTGATATATTGCTTTCAACATGGTTAATGGCGCAATGTAGATTACATAGCGGCATGGAAACCAATTCTCTTGGCTAAAGGTGATTTTAAATTACGTAAAAATGTAACTCGGCTTGCTGCCAAAGCTAAATTGTAAACATATTTTATTTAAATTAAATGCCAATTTAACCTATGCATTTATATCATTATTTCTATTTCATGGTACATCTATGTTACATTTTAATTCAACCATATCCCAATTACACTCTCGGCTTGTAGCCACACAGCAAAGCATATATTGTAATCCACAACCGCCCTACAAGACTTTGTCTAACAACCAAATCAAGCTGTGTTTGAGCAAATAAAGTGTAAAATAAAAGTTGAACGGTATTTTTTTATGCAGTAAATAAAATAAAATGCATGTCCATCACATATGTCCAGGAAAGTCTTACTGAGCCTCTAATATTAGTCATTTACATATGGGAGGAATCAGAAACACCTGGGGGATAACCCATACACTAATGTGGATAACATTAAAAAGTTTGCACAGACAGGTCAAAAATATCCATGTGACCTGTAGATTACTGACATGTGGCACCAAGCCCAGCACAACAGCATTCGCAATGGTCTTGTTCAATAATACCTGGTGAAATGAAGATGCCAAGCCCCCTTTTAGTATCTGCTCCACAGACAGTGGGGAGAGATGTCTTGCTGCAGAGTTATTTCGTGGTCTTTTTTTACGTAAATCTTTACCTCGGCTCTCTGCCACGATTCTCGACCAAGGCTTGCAGGTTTTCATCCAGGCAAGCCTCCGTGCCTCGACTGCATCCGAAAGAGTCAAGCTAGAAGCGTAGCTTTGCATCTCCCCTTGATGTTCAACTACAGTTAACGTTCGATCATTGTTGCGTTGTGGGATGTCCATGTGCTCTGATGTCGTTACTTCTTCGTCTGGGGTAATGCTCAAATCCTTCTTGCAAGGTTGCAAGACCGTGGTTGTATCCATTGTCCGTCCTTTATTCATGACTTGTTCTTGCTCTTTGTTTGATCTATATCCTTCCTTCACATCCATGCACTTCCCATCAATGCTCATCGCACTCTCTTGTGGCGTGCACCGCTTTGCTTGCGTTGGACTTTCCTGTTGCTCTGCCTCAGAGGTGCTTTGCTCCGGTTCGTGATTTTTACTTTTTCTTTTCTCTCCTTCTAGCTTCTTGATTACTTCTTCTTTTTCTTCTGCTCGCATTCTCTCCTCCTCTTTCCGTTTCCTCCTCTCGTCTTCCTTGTCCTGTTTTTGCTTTCTTTCTTCCCTTTTCCTTCTCTTTTCTTCCTGTTTTCTCTTCACTTCTTCTTGTTTCCTTTTGTTCGCTGCTGCTTCTTCTTCTTCATCCCGTTTTCTCTTTTCCTCTTCTCGCTGCCGTTCTTGTTCCTCCTCCAACTTGCGCTGTTCGGCTTCCCTCCTTGTCACTTCTTCCCGTCGCAATCTCTCTTCCTCTATTCGCAAGCGCTCTTCTTCGAGTCTCTTCCGCTCTTCCTCCTTCTGTCTCTCATACTCCATCCTCCTTCTCTCGGCCTCTTCAAGCCTTCTCTTCTCCTCCTCCTGCCTTCGCCTCATCTCCTCTTCTTCTTTTCGTCGCCGTTCTTCCTCCCTTCTCTTCTGCTCCTCCTCTTCCCGCTGCAGCCTTTCTCTTCTGTCTCGCTCTTCCTTTTCCCTTCTGAGAGCGAGTTCTTTTTCTTGCCTGAGCTCTTCTCGTCTCGCTGCTATCAAGGGCGCGTATATTTTCCGTGTTCTGTAGCCTTTGAATAGGGCCTGGATCTTGAGTGCTGCGGGCTGCTGCCTGTCGCGTAGTTCTTGTCTGTCTTTCGCAAGCCTCTGCTCAAGTTCTTTCTTCTCATGGTCAATTTGTTCCTGAAAGCGCTCAATTTCAGCCTTGGAAATGCACATACATAAGACACAAAAGAGATGCAGAAATATCAGTTATATTAGAATGTATGAGTTATTTCATGAAGGTAATTTTGTACATTTTATTTCACTTCATGAAATTTGTAGTTGATTGAGCAACACATTATGTTGAGTAGGGTCTCCACATGTTGTGTAAATAGAATAGTTTACTTGACCCTTGGGAAGACTTTGAGGACAATTAACCATCGTGCAAGTCAGTTCAGGGCAACATTTTATAAATCAGGAAAATGCTGAGAGCACAATATCTCTTTCTTTGAATGATGTCACAGGATCTCTAAGAGTGTCATTAAAGTGCAAAGAGGGTGATAATGAGACCAACTACAACTCCATGAAGTGACCCATTGGCACATTGATGAGAACCCTCACCATGAATGTCCTCATATAGACCTGTTTATGTCGTAATCTGGAGTAACTTTTTGTATTTAGTTTGTTATCCTTCCCCCGCACCTCCGATTAGCACGGTTGGTTATGTACAGTGCTAAAGAAGTTCAACATACATACATTTAGACTTCAAACTTTCGTGACTGCAGGAATTCATATTCTTGATTCTTTCGGTAAAATCACGTAAATAGAAAACAAAAATGATTTAATAAATGTAAAATTAAAAAATTAAATAAAAAGAAAAAATTATAAATTGAAATAATGAAAGCAAAAAACACAATAAAAAAAAATTACTAAAATTTAAATAGTGATATAAAATAAAAAATAATAAATATAAATTTGTTGAAAATTTTATTTACAATGTTTTCTTTTTTGTTTTCTATCTACGTGACTTTACCGAAAGAACCAAAACTATACATACAACATGAACAACAGACATTGCTAGATACACATATTGGACCCATTTCAGGTCAATGTGATTGTCATACTTTTTAAGCAATCACCATACCTCATAGTTTCTCATTTCCGCTTCAAATGCCTTTTGATTTGCACGTTCTAGTTCTTCCACCTTTGCTTGTTGGAGCTGCATGTAATCAATCACAGATAAAACCATAGACTAAGATCATGTACATACATTGGAGTAAAATCAGCAAAGTTAAACTATTCTCCCGCTCAAACATGCATTGGGTTATGCTCAACTCTGTTGGCTGTCATGAACTACAATTTCATATGAAAATGGCAGGGGCCGGTCGATCTAAACTATCACCACAGCCGACTTACCACAAATTAGTGAACGTTTTATCAACTCCTGAAGAATAATGGGCTGAGTCAACCCGTCATCAGGATATTAATTTTAAACCTTATAATTGTGTATCCAGCACTCTACACACTGTATGACCTACACTATATGCCATAATATGTAAAATAAATCGATGTAGATTTTATTATATTGTCCAAGATTATATTTTTCAAGAATTCTAGCAGCATTGACTTAAGGTACGAATCATGTTTGATGGAAAAATGTATAATTAATAACATACAAATATGCCTTGAATGTACAACAGCTCGAAGCCATTTGCAAAATTACCACTTCAAAATAACTGCATGTGTGGCCAATTTGTTTTAGAACACCAACTTAATAAATCGAGAAAACGTGGCTGGATAAATGGCCATATTTACTGAAATGTGCAGACTCGTTTCTGTAGGACTTTGCTAGAAAATACTAATTTGTCAACACGTGAATTAGAAATCTGAATTTGGGGAATTGGAGGTCATGGAAGAAAGAAGTGCAATCATGTGTTTTATAATGTTATCCACTTCTTGGCATTACATGGGAGACATTGCTAATTCTACAATACCAGCCACTGTTTGTTATTGAAAGTCAGTGTCTCATTTCACAAATGAGTAATGGGATGGTACTTACCTCCATTGGCTTCCCTGAGCCAGTGGTGGACATTACACATTCCCCTACTTGGGACCAGTCTCTCTATCGGGTGATGACTGTAAACTTAACACAATGGTATTCATTTAAACAACCATAGAGAATAATGGGCTGGGTAGACCCCATCCATTATTTGAACTTGCGACCTTGTGATTGCGAGCCTAGCACTCAACCACTACTGCTTGCTCATACCACTCCTGGCAAAACTGCCTCCACTCGAAGAATCTCTTAGATTTAACAACATACATTAATGTGCATTGCATGTAGAACGTCTCTCAGTCCGAGGGTATTGGGCCCACTCTTTGAGGCTGGCCAGACATCTTGAGAGTTGGGAGAACCCAGGCTTTACTCCACCACACACGACCTCTTGTTCGAGGCGACTGTGGTGTACATTTCACTCCAGTATGCTAACCATTACATCATGGCAGCATCTCTCGCCTGATATCACTTGAACAATCAAACAAGTTGTACAACACCAGCCACTGCGTTGTATTTCAGTACACGGGAGATAACGTCAGTTGAGTGATGCCAGCCAATGCTTGGTGTTGCTTGGCAAGGTGTGGCAACTAGGAGTGTACCAGCCGCTGCCGCTGCAAGTCCATCTCCTCCTGCTCGTCCTGCTCCTGTCTCGCGCGGCGGCGCTGCTCGTGTTCAGGCTGCCCGTGGGTTCTGTCACCGGCTCCCACGAGTCTCTTCGCCTCCTCGCTGGCACCTGCCGTCTCCGCTATCGAATCTGTCCCGACACTGGCATTTCCCTTAATATCTGCAAGAGCGAATTGGTAACATATTGTACAGATGGGTTGGGTGTACACGTAACTTTAAATTTATGTTTGCAATGCTTAGGTGTAACAAACAGTATGACTTATTAGATACGTGTCTTTTCCAAGGTCGTTGATAAACAATTATTGCTCAGGAGATACAACAAGAACCAATTACCTTCAGCGCTGTAAACATTCTTAATAAAACCACATATCATCTCTGAAGTAGACATCCTGTCTACTCTGAGTTAATACCCTCATCTAACACACCTGTTTCTATGTGACAATGACGAACACGAATGAACTTACATGGTTTTAATTGATGGAGTGTAGTGATACGTGCAATCGCTTCTCAAATTGCACACAAGAAGCAAGGAAGGCTGCTTATGCAAGTGTGTCAATGAAAGTTGAGATAGGTTCAATTTTTTAATAACCACTTCAGGGAAATGTCTTTCTCATTTATAACAAAGCTACGTGGTGTGAACATGGTAACCAGACTTAGTATGGCCATACCCAGCAGCGAGGTTGCAATAGTAGATAGCAGAGATATGGAGTGAACCACACAGATTGCACAGATAAACAATGACATGCCATATATGAGAAAAATGCCAAATGCAAATGACCTTGAGAAAAGTCCTGAAATATCCCTTCTTTGGCTGACAAGATACAGCAGTTTGTATTGCAAGTTAGGAAATTAGGTGAACTATTACATGATATATCAAGTCAAAGTGTCTGCATGTTCAAATGAGTATTGGGCAGCGCTGATGTAATTGGTAGGAATGAGTCAGTGGTGGTAATTCCACATTCCTACCAAGGGGGCCAGTATACCCTTGGAATTGCCACTGCTGACTTCCAAAAGTACTCATTATTGACTCTGGAGGGATGATAAGATTGATTGAACTCCTGACTGGGATTTGATATTGTGACATTCTGAATTGTGAGCCAAGCACTCTACAACTGGATATTATATTCGAAGTGATTTCATAATTAAATGTACTATCCATTGATTAACTTGATTAATAACCCACTGAGTTTATTTCTCATAAAAAATACACCTGCAAAACCACTGATATTCATGAGTCATTTCTATTATGATGTGTTTTCGTGTTAATTTCTGTTCTACAACTAAGATGTGGTATGTGACACCGATAGACAGATGTCTTCTATTGTGACTGATATTCAAGTTCACGATCATCATATTTACTGATCTTTGTTAATTTCCCCTTCTAGTCCTAACTATGGAAAGGTGGATTTTCGATCATTGGCTAAGAGCTGCATATTGAGATAAGCACCGCCCTACATTTGCTTGAGCAGGGATACACTTTGACTGTTTGATGATAGTGTAATCCCACATATAAAAACATATGAACACATGGATGTCAGGATTTAATGTGCAAATAAATACAAATAGATGCAACTTAAATAACAAGTGCAAAAATACTCGTTCATTTAAGAGATTTACAGCTGGCAAGCTGTGTGCATATCAGAATTAATAATGCATAGTCAGTGATTCCACCACATGGGGGCACATTTGTTTGGTATAATGAGGAGTTTGTAAGGGTGAATTCATGCATCATGGTATGAATAAATCACCGCGGACAGACCTAATGCTAATGGCACATCTTGTTATCATTATAAACCATTTTGTATTAAATCTGGCTCGAACATTACGTTCACCATTCGGGCTATATTTTATCCTTTGTGACATGACCTAATTTCGATGTGCAGCCATATAGCTCGAAGGTAATGGCTTTGTGTGGTTTTACAAATCTATTTCACTGGGCTGTGAAAACATATGCGAAAAAATTGCATGATATAAAATTACATACATTTTATACATATGAAGTAGAAATCCCCTCATCTGCATTTAATGAGTGGTCATCATTACAAGTACATATAGTTATCGCTTCAGACATCCTGTTGTCTGCTATGTTGTGGTTAAAAATACATGTACAGCACCATTTTGTCAATCCACTGCTGGATGAGGACCTCCCTACATCTTGAGGGATATTTGACCACATTTCACCACAAGTTGTGGGTTAAAGATGGAAATGCAAAACAGCAATGGATATTTCTGCACTACCCTCTACCCTCCATAACGTCGATTGTACCCGTATTCTATGCATGGTGGTCACCCATCCAGCCAAAATCCAGGCTCCACCCAGCTTATCTTAAAATATTGGATGATTTCTCGGTGATTTGCAAAACGCAGGTCATATCAGTCTAACGGCGAAAGCTTTCGGAGCAAGGCACGGGCGATCTCAACTGTGCCTTGGATAAGTCCCCATTGCACAGGTGACTCTTTTCTGCTCACCTGCAATGGAAAGGCACTAAACCTGCCCTGAACCACAATATTGCACACATAAGGAAGTTACCCAGCCAGTAAACCAATGAATTATGACACACTATAAGCCATTCTCTACAGTTACTTCAGTGTTTTCTGAGTATCGGTATGAAGCAGAATGTAATGATTTTACGGAAATCTCTGCAGACAGCAGAGCCGCATGCTCTGTTGATGAATGATCCAGGTACAGACACCATAGAACTTCCAAAATAGGCATCTCTTATAACAAATACACAAGTTCTTATTATGCTGCGTAGACAAGTTCTTCTAACTCTCATTACATTTATCATCATTCTCATCAGACATCATAAATCCTCTGCTGGGTGAAGGCACCCCCAAGCCTCAAGATGTACAGGCCAAATTGAATAAAAACAATTTCACGTGACGAGTTTTATTATGATACGATCATACTGACATAACATGTTTTTGTTTACATTTGAAAACTTGCTTTTCCCAGGTTAATATGTGCCTGGTTGGAATGCAAGTTCTTTGTACTGCTGGTCCAAATAATTTATTACAGGACATAGCACATTGAGTCACACAGCCACCCATAAATAACATTACTTTCAAAATACGTTTCGCAATGCTAAATATACTTACTTAGGGACACATCAGCATCTGTTTCGCGGCCACTAATGTCCTCTTGTCCAGCAGCAGGGGGCAATGAAGAGTCACATTCTTCTGATGCCTCTTCACAGCTCTGCCGTTCATATTCCTCCAATTCTGACAAAACCTACGGTGGAAAAATAATGGAAGACTGGTGTGGGAACAACTGGGAAAGCACCATCATCGGAAATAAGCATCTCATTGAAGATACCAATCATCCAGACCTCAGGAAGCTCAGTGCCCCACAAGCAGTGGGTTTCTTTATATAGTATCAAAACTGGCCACACAAGGTGCGATCACCTTTTCACAAAGCAAAAATAAACCACCCAAATGCAACTTTGGTACACCACAAGTAACGTTTGTAACAGATCGTGAACTCGTGTCCACTGAGAGTGATCTCCGAGGGCACGAGTGGTGGATATTCGATGTTCTTTTAAGTCATAAGCTGGATTTACAACTTAAACATCAATTCATAATTCCTACTGAATTCATAGCCAAACACAAGAAGTAAAAAAACATTTGTAATATAGAATCCAAGCCTTCAAGTGTTGCAAATAACTGAGCTTAAATATGTAAACACATTCCTGCGGAGGGAGCTGGTAGGAACGTTGGGTTGCCCGGTCAATGGCCAGGGTCAACGGCGGCGTGGTGTATTCCGCAAATATGCCCGACTGTGAGGGCGGGCACAAGCCGGCGTGAGTAGATTAAACGTTGAGTTTCATAAGGGCACCACGGGGTGACCAGCCCCTCCCCACCCAGCCCCACCCAGCCCCTCCCCACCCTCCCCTCCCCACCCAGCCCCACCCAGCCCCTTCCCACCCTCCCCTCCCAACCTCCCCTCCCCACCCAGCCCCTCCCTCCCCACCCAGCCCCTCCCTGCACGACGGACGGACACAATAATTCCCTGTGGGCTGGTGTAACCAGGAGGTTCCTACCAGTAGTATCCACTGTATGTGTAAAATGGATGCAATATTGCCACATATCTCGGGTTAACCTACCCTTTTCTTTAGGACCTCAGGATCTTCACCATATTCCTTGGCTAATTCCTCAAGCAATACGTGAGACTTAAATGAAACTGAAGCCCAGTTGTCTGCAAGGCAAGATATGACAAGTGGAGAAGTTATTTTTGTAATAATCGCATGCGATACAAAAATTTGAATCAATATTGAGTGAGGGATATTACTGTGACAAGTTATCAACCATAGTGAACTACACACGATCAAATAAGCTGAGCACAATTAACATTGTGCTCAACAGGTAGATCAAAAAATAAATGGTAATATCAATACAACGAAAATGGATTAGCAACTGGTTACATGCCTGGCAGATGCTGAGTGAAAACACAAGTGGTCTGAAAAGTAAAAAATGGTTCACAAAAAATAGGAGCCAGAATAATAGTGTTCAGATTAACTATGGGGAAAAAAACCTAGGTATGCATTCCACACTATAGATATAAAAATGACATGACTACTCTCGATATGGTGTCTCTCAATCTATCCATCAATTATGCGATTAAATAAAACAAATGATTTCATTCATTAGACATTCAAGTGAAAAGGTCCCCATCCTCTAAGAAGCATGTCCTGAGTCTGTCAATGATTACATTTTCCATGGCCAGCGCCTATATCTCTAAAGGACAACCGCTATTCACTTGCTAGAAAGTGATATTAATTTCAGTGACTAGAAAAAGGCTGAGTAAAACACAGACCAGGATTTTAACTTGCAACCTTTCATCATGAATCGGCATTCTGTGGCTCCACCAAGATGAATTATTATCCGTTAGCAAATATGTTATAACAAAGTTTGAGGCTTTGGTAGGAGTTGTAAGGGATCTGCAGTTCAGGAAGGTTCAGGAAAACGTATATATTCATGCTGTATTTGTTTTAGCGTAAACATTATTTGGTCTCACTCAGGTCGGGCTCCTCCTCGTGCAACTTATTGTAGATGTCTTCCACATCCTCAGCTCTGCTCTTCACTCTCGCCATGTACATGAGCACTGTGTCAGGCAGGCCTTCCTCTTCAGGCTTATCAATGTACACACATATCAGCAAAACGTTACAATCATTAATAGGGGTAATGGTAGTGATGCTTGCTAATTGAGCATTGCTGAGAATCTCCGTTATTATATTTGGCTCCTTCCCATAATAAAATAAACTTGTCATGAATCAGCATGGTTGCCATTGCAAGTCAAATGATACTAATATTCTTCATGAGGATACAAAGATTCTGCATGTTCATTGTCATGTACTTTCGTAATCCCCCCCCCCCCCCCCGATTGATTTCAATTGCACTATTGCCATTGTGTCATGAGGCAAAACATATTTTCGATATTGTTAATTCTCTAAACTGGAAGTTAGCCAAATTCAGTGCAAACCCGAAGTCAATATGAAGGGGTTTTGTGCAGTTGTTAGTGGGAGGTTGCTCAGATTGGGACCTAGGGTCTCAGCTGAGCACTCTAACTTCTGAGCCACCCAGCCACCTCAAATCTCCATGCTCAAACAATGAATGAATATAAACATCAAGACAAAGAGTTGACCTTTGTTCAATTGTTAAGCAATGTAGTATAGCTTATTTGGCAGATAAGCACATACAAAGGGACATACCGTATGTATGTTGAACTTCTTTTACACCGTACGCAGACATGCTAATCGGAGGTGCGTACGGACAACTAAACACAAAAGTCAGTTCTAAATAAATGCGTTTTCAATCTAGATTTAAAATTGCACAGCACCAGTGGCTTCCTAATATTATTGACGGCTGCAGAAGCGCATCTGAAAGCGAGCGACGCAGTGGCCGTCTTTGTTCGATGGCCAGCCAAAAGTCGTTGCGAGGGTGACCAGAGTTTGCGTGATAGTTTATGCTCCTTGACGAGATCAGCAAGGTATTGTAGGTCATTTGTGGCACGCACTTTGTGTTTAATGAGTGCAACCTTATAACGGTATAGGCAGATATGTGACATGGTCGGATATGTGAACGTTTGTAGCAAATGACAAGACAATATAGGTAACAATGCAAAGCTATATCTGCTGCCCACCACAGAATCCCACAGCCTATGCCAACTGTTACACACAATAGTTGTCCATCCAAGCGGTATCCTCGCTCAACCCTGCTGAGCTTCCACTACCTGATGACATTGCTCACATACTTTAAAACCTCAAACATGTCTGGTGTCCAGTCACTTGAAGGATGTTAAGCAAAAGGTATTGTTTGTAAGTAGACGCTAAATTGACGCGTTATTCTTTATCGAAATGCCAAAACAACTATTTATATGTAGAGTAGTCTTCTGTAAAAAAAAAATGCATAATTGATCGTGTCATTTACGTTTTCACAAAATCTCAGTGACAGGAATTTGCTCTTGCATTGACTTTTTAATGTAAATGCATGAATGAATAGTTACTGTTGTTGTTATTGTCTGTCATATAAATAATTTAAAGCAAGTATATATTTATAAACTGTAGTGTTAAAACAAATCCCGGCCGCATTTTCTGTAGTTTTATGCTGTCCGATTTATGTATTCCTTGTGCCTCAGTATGCGGCAAATTTGCCGCCTCGGAAATGTCAAGCCGATTTTGAATATAAAGAGGATGCTTACTTCAATGCAGGCAATTTCAGCTTGGTCCTCTTCAGAATCATTGCCTTCCAACTCCTCCAGTGGCACATTGATTAATCGTAGCTCCCGCTCAATGGCTTCTTCCAAATCTTCGCAATCCATCTGTCTGGAGAGAAGAGAAAGCATATACGAAATATTTTTTCAAACATTATTTTATTACTTCTTAACAACAGACCATTTCTGGTGAAGTGGCTGAGTGGCTGAGCGGGGTAGGAAGTCAGGGCGTGATTTACCTACCTATTACTCAATCATTGTCTCAAGTTGATTCAGTTGGTCAGGGTTTTAGTCACGATAGACTTCACAAGTAATGCTATTTTTGTTCAATTTATTTTACATATTTCAGCACTGAGGCCAAAAAAGGCAGTTTGGCTGACATGTGATGCATTTTATAAGTGCTACCTTGTATTGATGAGGCTTACTTAAGGCAATTAAAAGTAGTTATTTGATGTCTTCCAGGTTTTTTTCGCTGATACAAAGCGATGGACTGCTCTATTTTAGTTGTGAATGGAAATGTTTCTAACTTTGTGCTGTGACATCAATGTCACCAATGAAAATGGCACACAGGCTAAATAAAGGTTATGAACAGAATGGTTTTAAATACGTTCATTTAACGTACCACAATTGTATTTATGTCAATCTAGTATTCGCTTTCTCCAACTATTAATGCCCATCACTGTGAAAAGTAAACAGTGGTAATCCTGAAAACAATAGTCTGTTCTCTACCATAGGAATGTGGAATTTCCACAACTGGCTCAGGACTGACACCAGATGTGAGTGCCACATAAAACTCAAATAATTGAGCAGAGACACCTTACTTTGGCTTGCTCTTGACATACAACTCTAGTATAGTATGCAGTGTAAAGCCACTACATCCTGGAGTAAGCCAGTAATGTACATGAAGTGCATTGTCCGCAAGAAATCAAGTACAAGTATTGACGGCTTAGAATTGCACTGCCATGCACAATGAGGAAGACGTGGATTACAGAACGTACGCTCGTCAAACAAACAACTAACAAAGGGAGTGGCAGCCAAAGCACAACCACCTTGGAGATGCAGCGATGAAATCAACTTTGTGTGCAGATGCTGAATGGTTAACATCGCCGAATCGTGAGACGGTTACTGCTTGGGGAGAGGCCTTCATCCAGCAGTGGATGATTGTTCGTGGCTCATTACAAATGAACTGTAACTGTGCGATTAGAGCAATGAGGCAGAGTACTAAAGTCACACAGTCGGTGGTCAAATGAACACGGCTCGCCGATCACATTTGCCGGAGGCCCCCGAAGCAACGGCGGAAATTCCACATTCCCATGGCGAGACCAGGATAAACACATTGGACAACCACGGCTATCGTAGCAAGAGTGCAGTCGTACGCGAGGACTGTATTATCACCACCACGAAATGCAGTAGCACTGTATCATAAACATGTAGAATAAGCATCACGCGAAAAAGTCAGCATGTTGTCAATATGTAACGCTCTACAATAGGGCCCATCCATTTGGTGCGTACGCAAACATCTGTCAACACTTGACGCACCCCCGGACCCTATAGAAGGGCCGACATTTAATTCACGCAAAAACGAACCAGGATTAATAATATTCACGTGTTTAAGCAAACAAATAACTCATTTGAAGGCCAATGTAGACATTATTATCGAGGCTTCACCCAACAACCCCCCCCCCCCCCATACGCAAGCGTACACATTTGGGTTAACCACCCCATCCCCCTCCATGCGTACGGACTAAATGGATGGCCCCATATGCATTTGTTTGTAAAGCGCGACATTACATTATCATACACAATGCTATACCAAACCCAATCACGTCGCAATGTCCTACGCCAGGCTGTGAACCTGTACCTTGTAGCTCGCGTGCGCTATGAGCTAGTTAGTGAGTGAGAACGACGCCGTTTGTAGCCACGAAGCCTCCTTCATGGCCCTGGCAGCTCCGCTCAGCATGTGTTCCGTGCGGGCGTCTCTGCGTTGCCGTGGCGACGGGGGCCGCCGCTACCGGAAATGCGCGCGCACGTGGCCAGCAGCGCGCACGTGGCCAGCAACGCGCACTGCGGAATTGGCGTTAACCGGCTTCAGTGGTCAGGGGGTGGGAAGTTTTTTTGAGTGAACGCGTGCTATGTTAATTACGATAAGGCGTGTTGAGTAAAATTTTGATTTAAAGCTTTCGCGACTGCCGGGATTCATATTGTTGGTTATTTCGGTAAAGTCACGAAGAAGGGAAATAATAAAATGATAGAAATGTAAAACAATAAAAATTCTCACGACGTTTCGACTGCAACACAAGCAATCATCATCAGGTGTGAAATCCACAGCAAGTGAGAATTTGTATTGTTTTATATTTATATTGTTTTCTTATTTCCCTTCTACGTGACTTTACCGAAAGAACCAATGATATGAATCCCTGCAGTCACGAAAGATTGAAATAATTTTTTTTTTACGATAACGCGTCTTCGGTAACTTACGGTAACCTGCTCTAAGCGACAATGTCTTTGGTGACGCCGCATTGGAAGTGGTCTCACAAGCGCACGAAATAAAATACATGAGGCGACGATTCGGGCAATGGCCCTGTTTCCTACTAGTGCACGCAGAGTGGCCAGAAAGATTGAGTTTTTGGACAGTACCGTGGGTTGCAGCTTTCTAGATAGAATTAGCGAAGCGTGGGGCAGATGCAAGCTTGTAATTACACTGACCAACAACATAAATCAGGTGAATGACAACATTTTACCTGTTCAGAACAGCGAATGGGTTTGGGCAGGACACGCCGCTGAAACGGAACGATGGCCGATGATCAATAATACGGGATTGGAATGTGCGAACATCTGAATGTAAAGTGGCAGGAAGGCATCGTAGACAGTCGTGAAGATGGAATTGTGATTTGGGTGGGACGCGTGTGCAAGGTGGTGGAGGGCTTGGCTAAACGTTAAAAGTATCGCGCGCTTTCAGATGCACTTCTGCGGCCGTCTGGAACGCTCTTCTGATATTAAGGAAGCAATTGGGAGCTGTGCAGTTTTAAATCGAGACTGAATTATTTTTTGAACTGATTTTTTTGTTTAGTTTGTTGTCCTTATATTATCACGGTTGGCAACGTACGGTGCGAAAGAAGTTCAGCATACATAAAACGCAGAAAGTTGTCACAGTTGGGAGCACAGTCGGTGCATCTGCCGGTCATCTCAGTCAACCAACCTATGGCAACTGGGTTCTGTGACCTGCCAGCGAGCCTTCGACATGCCAAATGGCCTCGAAAGGGCACCGAGCATGACACAAGCGTCGTGGTGCGATGTCTCCGTCACTTAGCGGGCAACGGCGGTTGTTGTTGTTGGGCGACCGATACGGGCATTGGGAGTGTCAGCTACTAAGGGGAAGACCTCGAGCCCAGACAGAGGGAGACTGAGAGCAGAGCTTGGAGGTCGGGGTGTAGACTTGTGCAACAGTTGTGGGATGTATCAGGATAAACCAAGCCATCGGAAGGAGTGATGGCTTCAATGGCATTGGGCATGATGACCTCTTAGAGGCTTTGAGCTCACTACATGGATTATCAAAAGCGTCCATCACTGGTCAAAGGCCTTCAAATGAAATCAGCTTTGACTTGCTGATAAGATCTAATGAATGAGCCAGGTCGAGGTCTGTTGTTTTGCACAATGAAAAATATTGACCTTGAAGCTCTATGGGCCAAAAAAGTTTGTTATTTTTCTCTGTTCGTCATCCAGAATTCCACTTTTTAACGTTTTTTTCTTCAATGTATTAGATTTTTATAGAAAAGCAATAATGCACATTTGATATTTTTGTAACACATGACCTCAATTATACCGAATTGATTTTGATTTGTTTGCTTTATGTTTTTGTGGTTATTTTGCCATTCACTTCAATACATTATGTGCACTGGAAAGCAAAGGCTCTTGTGATGTTATCAGGCTTGATGTAAATTCTTCACATTCCAGTTGCACTGAATACAGAAAACACAACACCTGCCAACTCTTGGAAGATGGAATTCAATAACCCTACAATTTCGCTGCACATTGCACATTACTGACAGTTTTATTACGTTTTCGAATATTAAAACTTAACGTATGTTGTGTTTTTCTTTACTCTGTTAAAAAGCATCTGTTATTGATTTTGTTTAGCGAATTGTCTGATGGATCTTTGGCAGAAGAAACAACGGTATATGTGTACGTTTTTTCATATATTGCAATAGGATGTTTGGATTTGTATTGCAGAATAATCAACCTTTATCTATCCACTTGTAGATGAAGTCTTCCTCAAGCCATCAACATCACAAAACTGACTGCCTGCGATGCAACAATCCATCTCGCTCCTCCACACGAGTAAATGCTATCTCCCCAGCTCAACGGAGGATGTCCTCTCAGATGTGTTCCATCCTTTAGCTGCCACTCCATCATTAGACTCCTGGCCATTATCCCTTTCAGAAACGTGTCTAGTCCAAGCCCACTCTAATAATCCCAATTTACTTATTTAATTACGTAATTTTTGCTTGTCATCGTTTAACTTTACTTTAAATCGCTACGGTATACCAACCACAAAATTGTATGTTTTCATTAATTGCTTTGAACGGTATGTTTAGTCCAATATCGTTCAATTATCTCATTGTGGATGATGTTAACGGTGTTCACAACATGTTTGATGTACGTGGAATGTTGAACGGATGGGTGCAAACGAAGCCAGGTTACACCTCTGTGGTAAAATCGCTTATTTCGTAATTATCAGAAGATCGCAACTTCAAAATCCCAGTTTTGGGTCGTCTTAAGTTCATTGTCCTGTCTATGGTCGATCGACCTAATATTGTAGTACTTTAATTCGAATACGCAGTGACTATCCTTTCAGCATACCGGTCCTAGTCATAGAATGTAGAATGTTAACCATCAGCTCGCCACCACCAGTAAAGGCGATGTGACAAATAGGTTATTTGAGCATAGAAACCTCTACGTTTTATAGTCTTATATAATCTTAGCATAAAGACCTTAGTTGAATTATAGTGTTTACTCCCCATATCTATTCACTGGTGGCCAGCACTAAACAACATTATGTCATGTAATACATGATTTGCTGTTTAAACACGAGATTCCACAGCGCAGCAGTAAAAATCGACCTGTCTTCATGCCAAACACTAATTGCAACATTTCTCATTTCACCGTGACATAAAGGTGATTTGATTTGCAGGGATTATTAGTTCAGAGCAACATATTTAGCAAGGGCATGTTGAAATATTCTCACTCTTCTAAGTGTGGATGCATTACTGGTTGCAGTTGGATACGTTGTAGTAGGTTTGCCACGATATAATATTTTTTAGGATACAACTACATTTTGTGATATGACTATTATTGTGAAATCATGTAACCTTAAAAAATTGCATTGATATACTTCATATACGATTAAGGAGTTCTTCATATTGTAATTCATCTACTGCAGTTAGTTGAACAGAAGCCTGCCATGACCGTTCTTGTCATTGTAACTTTACAATCTATAACCCCGATAACGCACATGCTGTCAGAACATGATGATGTCGCATAATCGTAATGTCAATTATTCCAGAAAACGCTGAGCAATGCACAAATACAATGGGTAATAGTATTATTTGAACTTTAATACTTATTTTGAACTCCCACCTGAAGACGATTGCTTGTGTGGCGATCGAAACGTCGTGATCTATTATTTTTTCTACCTACGTGACTTTACCGAAATAACCAAGAAGATGAATCCCTGCGGTCATGAAAGCTTCAAATCAAGCTTCAACTATGACTTCATGAACATATTTTTTAAAGAAATAAAATGTGGAAGTAAAACAAAAGCGATCGACAATAATTGCGAGTGATGATATTGAGCAAAACGGACGACTATATTGGATCTCATGCAATATACAGCAGTATCATCATAGCACGACGACTTGACTTTGTGCTTCACTGGCACACGACTGAGCCGCTGTGGAGGAAATAAATGATTCCACTCCCTCAAACGCCATAAAGCTTCTAAAGCGATTTAAAGCTTTCGTGACTGCAGGGATTCATCTTCTTGGTTCTTTCGGTAAAGTCACGTAGAAGGGAAGTAATAAAATAATAAAAATAAAACATAATAAAACAATTCTCACGACGTTTCGGCCACAACGCAAGCAGCCGTCCTCAGGTGAAAACCAGGTCCGTCGAGGCGACAGAGTCTGAATGAAACAGCACACGGGCTTAGAGCATATATATAAGCTGGGCGCATTGACAAAGGAATTTGCATATCAACAGGAATTTAGCATATTTATGGGAAATGCAGGAATGTAATTAGTACTGCATATGCATGTGCATTATGCAGGATTAACAGCATCAAAGGGAGCTGCAGTTACTGCTGCTGCAGCAGTTGCTGCTGCTGCAGTTTCTGCTGCTGCTGCAGTTGCTGCTGCAGTTGCTGCTGCTGCTGCACTTGCTGCTGCTGCTGCACTTGCTGCTGCTGTTGCACTTGCTGCTGCTGCTGCTGCAGTTGCTGCCTTATCCATTTTAATATAACACTATGTATTATTCTACCCACCCTAATGTGTATCATACTGCTATATGTTTACTGTACAATTACGACACCATACATTACTCTGCACACTGCACCATGCCAGTGAGTGGAACGCGGTCTGAAAGTCACCGTTAACGTGAACACAATCAGTTAAGATCCGAAATGGTTTATTACGTCCTTCCAATGATTGCTAAGCCAGAATCCATCTTCTCGGTTGAAATTGTCTCTGTGTTTGTATATGTGGATCGCCTCATGAACGAATCTCTCATGATAGCCAGATGGCTTGCAGAGAACCTCTGTCTTGGAGAAGTCAATGTCATGTGAGCCCACTGAATTGTAACAGTGATCTGCCACGGCTGAGGTGTTTGTCCTACCGTGTTTCAGGTCTGCCTTATGTTCACGGATGCGGTCCGAGACATGTCGTTTGGTTTCTCCAATGTAACTGCTACCACAGAGGCAACTTAGTTTGTAGACGCCAGGGTA